AAAAAAAAAAAAAAAAAAAAATAAACACATCATGGTAAAATTAATACCTTCTCAGCTTCGCATCGAAGCTAAAATAATTATTTATAGCAAAAATTAGAATCAATGTATTACAGAAGACCAAACGTTTATTTATATAATAATTTAGAAGTAAAGTTAAAATATAATAATAATAGTTACATTGTCTACCATAAAGTATAAAATTAGTATAGATTTTAGTTAGAAATTGGTTAATTTATGAAGATTGCTTTTCAACTATAATTTAATTAATGTAAATTACAATATATATTTAATTAAAAATAAAATTTAAAACTTCTTTCAAACATAATAACAATTTCTGCCAAAAAATAACAAAATAGAAAGGCTATAATTTTATAGTACAAGCGGTACATAAATAATGTGTAACAAATATTGACTAAACCGTAATATAATGAACCGCACATAATTTATTAATACAATTTATTTACAATACTAATAGGCGATGAATAACAAATAGAAAAATAACCCAACTAGACGGTCTATTAATAGCAATAATATTAGTATATTTGAGCAACAAATTCAAACAAATGTTTTCAGCAGAACAGATATTTTAAAAGCGGCCACAAATTCAAATAAAATATAAATTAATAGGAAAAATGGCAACGTGTGTAATTCATTAGCTTTAATGCTCTGTCCCTTTTAATTGTATAGACTGATGTAAGCAACGTTGCCACTTTGCTTATGTACTTATTTCTAAACGGCGGTACACGAAAAACGCAACTGATTATTGAGTAATGTAGGTTTTTTTCTATCTTACCCAGGGTTCGAAATGGACAGGAACTGCGTTCCGGTTCACAACAAAAATTTTTTTAGAGTTCCGGCTCGTAAAAAAAATACATTAGTATGTAGTATGTATATAATTATATATAATTGATTTCAAATCAATCGAGCTAAATAGTATGAGCGACAAATTCAAATAATTAGATGATCAAAACTTAAATATCATAAATGTAAAACATAGTGAATATATTGCAAGAGAGAACGTGATTTGGCGGCCAAATGAAAAATTAGAAAATATTCTATTTTTACCAATAGTGGTGTTCTTTTGTGTCCCACTGGTTAGAAATAAGTTCATAGGCAAACTGGCAACGTTGCTATCACAAATCGCTCTAATTAAAAGGGACAGAGAGTTGAAATCATTCTAAACACTAATTAATATCACATATTGACAGTTTGCTTATTAACTTTTATGTTATTTGAATTTGTCGCCGCTTTAAAAATATTTATTCCGTCTGCTGAACGAATGATTTTATAGTTCAATATACTAAAATTATTGCTATTAATAGACCGTCCGGTTAGTTATTTTTCTAATAACTAAATTGCATTTATAAAATTTATGTTGTTTATTATGTCGGCTTAATCAATTTCTGGTTATATATATATACATTTATAATGTAATTAATAATAATTTAATTGGTTATGCACTTTAGTAACTTTTAATTAAAAAAAATAATTGCTTACAAACGTATCTGTATGCTTAATAAAATAAAAATAAAAAACATGATATCAACAAAAAGATAGTTAATATACTAACACAATTCATATATGACATCAATAACATGTATTAAAGTGAATTGAATAAAAAATTAAATGTCATAAAATTTCATATTTTACAAATTACGGGTCACAGTAAACATATGCGCAGAAATGAGTGGACTTAAAAATGCTCGTAAAATGGTGAAAATGAACGGATTGAATTGATTTTTTATGATATCTCAGAAATGTCATTGGGCTGGTCTGGTGAAAATTTCAAGCCTTAAGTTGTAAAATGCGCGCTGACGCCAGTGTTTTTCTCAAAAACGGTCAAAATTTTAAAACGCTCGCCAGCGTGCAGCAAACATTTTCCGACCTTTGCCATTCATTTTCCTGGAATCTCGTGACTGAGTACTTTTGTTGAAAAAAAAAATTTTAAAAAACCGAACACCCTAAGTAATTTTCCCAGAAAAGCGTTTAGTTTTCTTTTTCTATTATATAATAAAATACATAATTTATAAATTTATATGACAAATTATGTTGAGTTTGAAGTTTATACAAGAGTATTTTTAAATAAAAAATCCTCTTTTGATTATAAAATAATAAACATCCAACAAGCATATAATGGTAGGCAAAAGGATTTCCCTTCCTCCCAAAAAAATGTATAATAGCTAATGTAATATGCAGTGGCGGCCAAATGAAAGAGGATTAGGAGGATAACCTCTTCATTTACACACTATTTTAGAAATTTTTGTATAATTTAAATGCATAATTAATACAAAACAATTTTAATACTACTAATTTGGGACATTAAATTTTAAGTTTTGATTATTATTTTTACATAGGTAAATTAAAAATTAAATATTTGCGTTGGGTTTTTTTCATGAACAACTGCTTTATTTAATGAAACAATGTAAAATCGTCTGATTAATTTTTCCCGGTACTCCAATATGCTATTCAGTTTTGTAATTAATTATACAAATTATAGAAACTTACCACGACGCAGTCAGATGATGGTCGATTAAATCCATAAATAGAATGTAAAATACCTTGAATTGATCTTTTTAAAAAAGAATAATCATAAATCCATCTATAAAGTTTAGATGTATCTCTAATTCTCAGGAATACACCACTAAACATCACCCATGGTAAAAGGACTAAATTAATTGTCACAATAATAACCTAAAAAAAATAAATACATTACTACCTAAAAAATAGCCTTTAAAATACAAAATTATTTGTTTAGAGTTTAATCCTAATTTAACATCAATTCAACTGTAGTATGTTGGTGTTAAATCAGGCTTATTTAATTTAATTATCTTAACTAATTTAATATTGCATAACTTTGTTGCTAATAAGAGTAGTTACTGAACAGTAATAAAGGTCTTAAACCCCCTATGTATAACCTTGCTTACACAGAAACGGAATTATATTTTTACAAAAGCAATTTCACAAGTGGAATGTGTATCGCGCCCTTAAAATTTCATTAAAGTCGTTTGTGGTCCGCATTTTTATGATATATTAACGACTTTTTTATTTATTAAGGTATTTAAGTTGGCAAATTATTACCAATAATCGGCAAAAATTATATCACATCTTCCTAAAAATTAACTATTTATAACTGAAGATAAGATTTCTCGCGAGTTTTGTCGATAAACAACTCTTACCGTAAATGTATAGACCGAACATATAAAATAATTATTGTTATTTAAAATATACATATACACATTATTTTGTTAGACAGAAATTTCAGAATATAATTTTTAATAGTCACCTGAAAAAGAAGGAATAAATAAAAAATAATTCATCAACTGAATTAATTGAATTGAAACAAAATTATCTCTACCACCAAGATCATCCTGGGTCTACTGAAAATTTTATTTGTGCGTCTCAAGAGTTATTGTAAACATATGAACATATGGTACTATGTACTAACTAAAACAACTGTCTAATAACAAATTTTAAACCAATTCAGAAGAAATAACTACTTTTATAATTGCATGTAAAAAAAAATAATTTTTTGAGTATTTCAAAATTGAGGTAAATTAATTAATTTAGTTTAACTAGAACTTAAATAATAAATTTTTATATAAACTTTTGAATACCAATGCTGATGAGTCATATAATTTTAATATACTTACTACAAAATTGTCGAAAATTACACTTATAAACATTCCCAATGATTGTGAAAATAATGTAGTTGTAATTATCATTAGTAAAAACATAAGTAGTCTGAAGTATTCAAACGGTTGTCCAGTTAATATATAGATTAAAATAGAATATATTGATATACTAAATACCTTAAAACAATATAATAGTCAATATTATATAAATAAATATTATAATATACATATATTTAGTTAATAAACTATTTAACTGTAGAAATTTTAAAAACTATAAAAAAATAGACATTTAAGTTAAAAATAGTATTTTTAAAATTTTTATTATATTTTACTTTAAATATTTTTCTCAATTAATTAAAATAATTAAAAAGTATATTTCAACAAATTGGAGGAATTCTGTCAGCTACCTAAAAAATTTTTCTAGATACCAATTACTTGCAATAAATTACAATATTAAAATTATAATAAACTAACGGAGTCCAGAATAATTGAAAAATGTTCATTTTCAATCGTTTTTAAATCTTTAGTGGAATCGCACATAATCTCAAGAACGTTGATTATTTTTACTTTAAATTTAAATTTAAAAGAATGCATGAAGTAAAATAATAAGGGTTGGATTAGAGAAATGTTAGGGATAAATCCAAATCACATCATTCAGAGTCATTGTGTACCATTGTATTTTATTTTTTAATTTTGCACACAAGCTGCCATAAAAAAAAAAGTTTTTTTATATTTTATAATTTATTTTATCTATTGATTTATTTTAAAACTTTTATAGTTAAAAGTTTTAAAATAATGAATAACCGGTAATTCATAATAATACAGTATGATAACAGTATTTATAATTAATACTTGAAATTTATATGTTTTTTTTTCTTGAAGCTTCTAACATATCACATAATTACCAATATAATTAAGCGTCTTTATACATTTTAAAATTCTAATTGACTATGACAAAAATTTTCTATCACAAATATTTGAATATTTTATTCACAAACACAATTGTTTTAATGGGTTTTTCTTATAATTTTCGTATACTATTGTACCTATATTTTTGAATATAATATATTAATCATTTAATTATTTAATAAATTAATGATGAATACATTTTTTAATATACTAAATATATTGAGTAAAATACAATTAAATATATGTATATAAACACTGAAATTATGTACTGAACATAAAAAATCTTCAATATTAAAGAAAAAACAATTTTTTTTTTTAAATAATAATGAAATTTTGTAAGTGTATTATATTATGTATTTTATTAGGTTACAAATAAATATCAAACTTAAAATTTCTTCATAGAAAGTTAATACTATATTTTGTGAAAAATTCTTAGTTAAATATTTTACTTCATCAGAGAATAATAAAAGTGTTTACTTTTATTAAAAATTTAATTTCCAGAAATTTGATATTTTTTAATGTGTTCTAGTAAAAAATGATTGGAGTAAATTTTTTCAAAATACAATCAAATTTTACTGTAGGAGTATGTTAATATAAAACAAAATTGTTTTCATAGTCAATTTGAATTTTGAAATTTTTGTTTTTATGTACCACGAAAATTTTATTTCAAAAATAGATTGACCACATTAAATAAATAAATAAATAAATGAAGGTATCTAAAACATTCAACAGTGTGGAGGAACAAAAATTAATGAAGTTGTCTATTTTATATTACCTGGGTATTTCAAATGGGTTGATTCGAATTTAAGAAATTTGGTTTTACTTTAGTATAATCGAAGAGTAATCATTTTTGAGATTTATTAGGTAACCCTAAAAATAATGTAATAAATGTGGTATATCGGGAATTTATAAAATTTTTAGAATGGTGTTGACTTTGAGCGTTACCAATACATAAAATAATATAATTATTAAACTTATATCAGATGCCTGGTAAATTTAAAAATCTATATGAATCAAAAATACTTAACATTAAAGATGTTATAGAGTATTTACCTGAAGTGGTAGATCTAAAATTATGACACACAAATAGTAAGGCCCTAATGAATACCATCGATTAAAGTGTTCCCTTCTTACAACAAACAATTCCATAGGCACTAATAAAAAACAATTGATTGCATTTCTTAAAAAGTTAATTTCATATAGAACTTTCAGAATTGTCAATTTTTGACAACGGTTAGCAATCAAAAACGGAATTTTTGCCGTGCTGTGTATAATTTTTATTTAATATTAGTATGCTTTTAAAAATTAGTTATTCAGATTATAATTTATATTATACATTTTTTTCTTGTATAAAGTGAGAATAGGTACGGGAATGTTGAAACAATAACTGGTAAAATAATGAATTAGTAGAAGTATTAATAGGAGAAAAGTCAATATTTGTTGCTTTCAGAAAAATATATCAATATAATAAGTGCATATGCTTCACAAATAGAATGTGAGGAAGAAGTTTTTTAGAAAGACATGCACGAGATTATGCAAAGAATCTCAAGTAAAGAGGATGCGATTATAGGCGAAGATATAAATGAACAAATTTATAATAAAAAGGATGGATATGAAAGAATACACAGAGTGTATGGTTTTAACAAGAAATATTGAGCTGGAACCAGAGTTCTAGATTTTGCAGTATCGTATGATCTTGCTGTCCTTACTTTAGGAAGAGGGAAGAGAATGTTGAATGCAGGAAAAAAAAGAAACTTGATGGTGGGATGAAGAAGTACAGATAATCATAGCCTGTAAGAAAAAACAATTTAAGGTATGACAGAAAAATAGGAGAGAAGATTGGATAGAGTACAAAAGTTTGTAAAAAGAAGCAAAAGACGCAGTAAATAAAACAATATATAAATGATAATAGGAGGATACTAACAAATGATGAAGATGGAAAAAATATTTTGAAAAATTCCCAAAGAGGAAAATCCATGAGATGATTATTTTGTAGAACGAAGTACTAATCGATTTTATTAGTGAGAAAGAGGAAAAGAGTGGAGGAATGGTTTGTGGCACCCGTATTTAAAGGTAAAGGAGACATACAGAAATGTGGAAATTATAGAGTCATTAGCCTTATGCGTTATAATATGAATGTTTGGAAAAAGATAATAGATAAGAGTAAAAAGTGAGATGTGAGATGTGGGTAACTAAAGCCAATTTGGTTTTTATCTGGAAAGTCAATATTGGTTGGGTTACGGAACCTTTGTTTGTGTAATACAGCTAATAGAAATATATAGAGGGAAGGAGAAGAAAAAACTTTAATGATATTCATAGATTTGGAGATGGCGCATGACAGAGTGCCAAGATAGGTTTTAATGTAGGCGTTAATGAGAAAAAGCAGCCCCAAATTTGTGGAAAAACAGAAAAATTCAGAATAAGAGTAGATGTATACCAAGGTTTTTTTTAAGTTTATTTTATCTATTTTATATTTTAATGGATGGAATTACCATGGTATTATAAGGGGAGGTACTGTGGTGCATGTTGTTTGCTAATGATGTAGTGTTAATAAGAGAAAATAGGGAAGAAGTTAACGAAAGGTTTGTAATGTGGAGATTAAGTTATGGAGGTAAAGGATTAAGGATTAGTAGAAGTAAAATGGAATGTATAGAGTAGAATTTTGACGAAAAAGAATATAAAGGGAATGAAACGAGAAGTAACGCAATAGGGGTATCAGAATCACCTTTGTGCAGGAAGTGTGGAGTAGAAGAGGAAGACCATTTCACATCATGTGCGAATGTGAAACCTTGTTCACACTAAGATCAAACTATTTGAATAAACCTTTTCCTGAAAAAGAAGACATTAAAAACCTAAAACCCAGAGAGATACTTAATTTCGCCAAGAAGACGGGACTCTTTGGTCATCTTTAGAGATGACTTTATGGTTGGAAATGTATTAACACTTAGGTGGGTAAACCGAATCAAGACAATTCGGTATGAGGTGCGCACAATGGACCAACAGGTCTGAGTGCATGGGCATTATGTCCACCTCGATAATAACTAAAACTAAATGAAACAAGAAGAGTAATGACAATAAAAAATGACGTGATATATAAGGTGTAAAGTTTTAAGTATTTAGGGTCAATTGTGCAAAAGAGCGTTAGTATTGACGAGGATGTAAGACACAGGATTAAGTGCGTGTGGATGAAGTGGAGAAAAGCGTCTGGCGTCTTATATTATGCTATATGATTTTATGGTTTAATGTGTATAAAATAGTCATTTGATAATGTAAAAATTACATGGCATTTCATTGTTAGATTCATTTAATTAAAATTACAATTTATAACTATTATTAAGGTACATAATTTATTTAATTAATTATTCAATAATAAAATAGAAAATAGCCACTCACATTTCATAGCAAGTGTGTATGCGGATGTGTAAACACATTGTAGTAAACAGAAATACATCATTGCAACATTGTCCAGAGAATATGACAAGTTGTGACCTATGTCATAGTAAGCAAATCCAAATGTACAAGCCAAAAATATATGTACCATGAATCGTGCGTTCGTGAGAAACTATGAAGCACATTAAAATTTAAATAAAAATACGTAATATCTTATAGTCCTTAAGTTCACAAATTATAAAAAAATATATCTGAAGCTTAAAAATTGTTAGACTATGTTTTTTTTTGGAGCATATATGTGTCTAAAAAATCAGTTGCATATTTGAGGAAGAACGTGATTTCATTTGACTATAAAGTTAGAATTTTTTTCGATGGTTATCAAAATATTTGCATGATACCTGATCACATTTAAATTTTAATGTTATAAAATAAAACATTTACAATTAAATTAACTATCGGCTAAAAATTGTCATTTATGATTATAATAATAGAATAATTAAGTATTATAATTTAAGTTTATAATAAAAACGTACTTTGTAATTAATATAGACATTGACCGTGTTAGATTTTGCAAACCCATGTGTAAATCGATAAGTATTTGTTATTAATTAAATTCATTAAAAAAATTTTTATTTTTAGTTTTAACTAAAATTTTGTTTATCGATTTTAACTCTCTAATTAAAATGTTATAACAAAATATTTGTTATTAAGTTTATCAATCAACTCATTATAATTATTTTTAATTGCAAATTTCACTTATAGATATTTCTGATGATAAATTAAAAAATAAGAAATTGTATTTCCCACTATAATATTTTAATGCAAATATATGAAACTATACTTTCATTGTATGATTTAAACAAAATAAGTAATCACTAAGAGTTATCAAAAATGAAGTCAAACATCAATTTCTTTAGAGTTCAGAGCGGGATTTTAGGTAGTATTAATACTAACTAAAATCCCGCTTTGAACAATGATACAACAATTCCCGTAACATCTACATAAATTATTATAGGCGAAAATTTGGTTAATGTTTACTCTTGTCATCAAATTTAAGAGTTAAAGACTTATTTGGGTGGGTAATAAGTCAATAAATTTGTGAACAATACTATCTTAAAAAATTTTAGATATCTGCTTGTAATGTAACTTAAAATTTTCATGGGGATTATGATTTTTAGCAATCAGAGGATTACGATAAGATAAACTAATAAAATTATTGTAAAATTTTTATAATTAGTTAGATATATTTAAATCTTTAACTATTTTATGGAACGTAGTCATAATTTTTTTAATTTTTTTCATATTATAAGAAGAAGAGAGCATATTCCACTCGGCTACTGCCCTAGATATGCTGCTGAGATTTAGTTCTATTGAAATGTAACAAAATAATTATTTTTACATATGTATATTTTTTTATTTTTCTTATGACTAACTTTTTTAACAATGTCTATTTATATGCAATGTTTATTTATCTTGGACAAAAGACTTTCTGTATCTGCTACTAGTTTCAAATAATGATATAGTAAATATTTATAGTATTTAAAGCTTAGTTTTAAGATGATAAACCTAAAAAAAAAATTCAAAAATATATATATTATTAAATTTTTTGAAATTTTAAACCATTAAATATAATTAAAAAAATTATTTTCGCTTTTCATATCAATCATTCATATTACCTTATCCCTTTTAGCTATAAGGAAAAGTCTACTAAATATAATAGAGCATTGAGTAGTGTAACTTGTATGAATTATAGGATCGGATAGTTCAATGGCAGTTCTTAATACTTCAGCATTTTTTAGACAGCAATTTTCTTCATCATACATTAACGATTTTTTAATTTTTTTTAGGCTATCAACGAGCATATCGACTTTGTTTCCAAACAAGCCTCTGCTAACATCAATTACTATAGAATAAAGTACACATGATTATAAAATATGAACAAGAAAACAAATAAGTTTTTATAAATTATCAGCTTACCATAATCGGCAGGGTTATGATAAAGTGGACAATAGAGACCAAAGTTATTTAAATATTTGATTAGATGAGAAGGTGAACCATTGTACATGCATTGTCCACTAGGAGTAAGAATGTACAATGAGTCAAATAATATTAAGTTAGAAGCAGATAATTGATGTATAGTACATACAATCGTTTTTCCTGAAAAAGCCAATTTTTTCATTGTAGACACTACTTGATTGGTGGATACAACATCCAAACCCCTGAAAAATATCGCACTAATGAGTAACGTGAATAATTAAATACTAGAAGATGTTTAGTCCTTAAATCAACAGATTAGTGTAACTCATAACAAATCAGCTTCTTTGAATTTAAAAATAATAATTGAGGGGCCTTTTTAGAATCGGACGATTCAGTTCTTTGCCCGTGATAGGCATGCTAGAAAGATTGTTTTTGCTTTTAAATTCTCAAAAAACAAAGGGAAAACCAACTAAAAAAAAAGTTTTTAGAACATATTTACTAAATAACGTCTCTATAACTTACGCTCTGTAATAATTTTGTAAAAATCCCTTTACTTATAAAATATATGATACGACTATCATTAAGTTAATTAATTTAAAGAATTTAAATTAAATTTTAGACATAATTTAAATATTTTTTTATTAATAATTTCAACCAATATTACTTTTTATTTTTACTATTTAATTTAATTAAAAAATAAATAAACATTCTTGATTAACGTGGTAAGTTTTAAAAGGATAAATATAAGCCCAACTGATTAACCTCATTAGCTATTAATCATTCATGTATAATAAAATTAAAATATACTAATTAAATAGTTTATTATAGATACGTACGTTGTAGGTTCATCTAAAAACATTACTTTAGGATCGCGTATTAATTCTAAAGCAATAGATAACCGTTTTCTTTCTCCACCAGACAAATATTTTTCCATTGTAAGTCTTTTTTCATAGAGCATTAAAATTTTTAAAATTTCTTCAATCTGTAAAAATATTTTTCGTACAATACAGTTTATGAGCATAAATAATGTATTTTCAGAATCAAAAATAATAGAAAATGGTAATCATAAAATAATTTTGGAAGATAAAGAAATTGTTGTAGAATTCAAAAATATCTTTCATGAACTTCTAGATAAGCCACAAAAAACTTACCATACTAAACATGATACATATAGTATAGTATTGTAAAGCAAGAAGTAGCAATATAATAATTAAAAAATAATAAATAGCCACGAGGATATGATTGTGGTCGAATTATTAAAAAATGATGGAGATTATGTGAACTAAGTAATATGGGAGCCGTATTTAGGAATTGGCTAAAGCGCCAATAACCTCCCAAAAATTCTTAGTAGCTAATTTCAATAATAAAAAGCAAAACCTACAAATATTGTCAATGTAAAATCAGTCAAAATAATTTTTTTATTCTAATATTGGTAGTGTGGTTTTATGATATTTTTTTTGTTTTCGTATATTTTTGAAGATTATCATAATAGTAATTTTCGATATAAGCTTATGATGATGGGAAAAAATGGTTGACTATTTTATTGGTTATCATTATTATTTAAAAGACAATTTTGAAAAAAATTTAAGAGTGCCAAAATGTATGTAAATACCCAACGCCAATAACTCAAATACGGTCCTGCGTTCCGGTCGATAACAACATAAAAACCTTGGAATCACTTACTAATATTTTTTTCTGATGTCCTATCTTTATACCCGAATGTAAAAATTTCATGGCGAATTCCATTGATTCCTGTACAGTTAATAGAGGTTGCAATATATCATCTTGCAAAATGTAACTAATTTGTCTTCGAAATAATTTTAAGTTTATTTTAGAATTTCCATTTATAGATATACTTCCATTATATCCATTAGTTCTTTAAAATAAAGAGATTAATTAGTATTTAACAAAAAATATATACTAAATTATAATCTAACTTATATCCCGAAAGAATGTTTAACAATGTTGATTTTCCAGATCCTGAACATCCAAGAATGGCGACTAATTGTTTTTTACGAAATTCTCCACTAACATCATTTAAAATCACTTTTGTTTCTAAAATTAAAGATATAAATTTTACTTGATCAACATTAAATTTAGTAGGAAAAAATAACCTACCCGCGTTTAACAAACTTGGCCTTATTTGAACTGCATAACATATATTAGTGAACTCTATATCAAAACCACACGATAGTGTCTTATTTATATAAGACGTTGGTTCATTACATTTTAAATTAGACATCGTTAAGTGACAGTTTTGAAAATACTTTTAGCGGTGAACGTTCTTGCACTGAATGCAACTTAACTGTGACACATGAATATACCCTACTTTTTTATTGAGAATGACTTGTAGATATATGACTATATGTAAATATAATACATAGTGTGATTCTATATCAATTGTAGTTACAAAAATTAAGCTTTTTCGTTCATGAATATAATGTATTAAGTTCTCAGTTTGGACTATATCGATTTCATTTAAATAAACATAATTCACTTTTTATGGTATAATATTTTACTCTTTTATTTTTATTCTGTAATACAGAGTGATTTTTTAACGATGACTTACGCAATATATCTCAAGATATAAGAGTAACTCATTATTTTTAACCATAATGGTTTTTTGTAGAGCCGTTATACAAGAAAAATTAAATTTCTACCACCATACCTTATGATTAAAACTTGTATTAACTTTGAATTTTCAAATGGCAACCCCATTTTTGTTTTGTATACCATTAAATTAAGTTTAAAAAATGTTTTTGTAATAAAAAAAAAATTATTTTAATTTATCTACGTCTATTTTAAATTTGGAGTAAATGATAATAAAATGAATTTATACATAAAAGTAATCGTAAAACAATAATAGCTACCACTTCATAGCACGCACAGCGGCGTATTTATATGCAGGCAATATAGACAACTGCCTACAGTAGCATATTTTTTTAAGGGGCGGTAAATATTGAAGGCCACAAAAAGCTAGTTATTTTTTTATTGTTGATAAGACATATTGACTTCTTAATAATCATCATTATCGTTTTCATTTATTGTGTATTTATCATAGGTGTATTAATATTTATTAATAAACATAGATTTGTTTGAAAGATATTTTTTTTCTTTGAGGAAGAATTAGTAGTGTTATGGCGAAAATATATAAAAATGAACCCTTTCTGTCATAATGTAATGAAGGGTAGCAAATTTTTAAATGCCTATAGGCGGAAAAAATGTGAATATGCCCCTGAGCACGGGAAAAGTGGTAGAAAAATGTTAAATTAATATTTGTTGATGAAATAACTATAAGACGTATCCAGTGGCACCGAAACCGGTGGGCAGGGGGTGGGGTGATTGCCTCTTGGTCAAAATACGAGGGAGGGACAAAAGTATCATTATGCCCCCTCTATAGAATCTGACAAGAAAAAATAACAATGATTCGGGAAATTAATATAACACTACCATACTTAATTATTTAGCTATTAAGATTTTAGGATTAAAAAGTGTTAATGAATTTACCAGTTAATGAACTTTAGTTGGATATTAAAAAACGTAAGCACGGTGGAGTCGTGGCTCAGTATGAATGTGGCATAGTAGGGACAAGTATAGATAATATTTTGTAGTGATTAAAATCATTATCATAAGAAACGCTTCGATACATATCTGTAGATGGTGTTTAATTAAAAAAAAAATGGTGGACTATTCTAAAAGCAAAATTAAGTACTATTTTTTATTCTACTTCGACTGCCATTTCAACATAGAAAATAGGTTGTCGATACAAATTTTTTTTTTTTTGAACTTCTAGTACATAAAATAAGCTTTATTTTAATATATATTTAAAAGACGCAGATTTTCAAAAATTAAATTGAAAAAGTTCTACTTTTTATACGTATGTTTCAAGTTTTGAATAGCCTCTGAATAAGGACAAATTTAAAAAAAAATATATCGGATAAAAGGGGTATATATAATATATTTAGAAACAAAAATTTGTGTTAATACATTTTTTGAAAAGTTATAGCATTTAAAGTTGAAAAAGTTGAATTTTGTAAAAAAATTGCTATTTTGAATCCCCTCTTATGGGCAGATAAAGGGTCAGATTTTCAAAAATATTATATTAAATAAAAGGGAATTACTTAAGGTTCAATATAAAAAAAATTATTTTTCTTTGTTGATTATTCAATAAGTTTAAAAAAATTTTTTTTTTTGAAAATGTCGAAAATTACCTATTTTAAAAATCGTTAATTTTTGGGGGAACTTTTACCATTTACGGGGTACGAGGAAAAATTTTTAATTTTTGAGGATAATGTCTTCAACTAGATACGATTTGTGATCTTTTGACGTATTGTCGAGAACAATCAGTCCAGCAAGAGCTGAAAAAAAATTGTGACAGACACAAAAAAAAAATAAATAAACATATCATGGTAAAATCAGATATTGATATCTCAGCTTCGCATTGAAGCTAAAACGTTTACTTGTTTCTTGATTCTTACCGCTATGAAAATATATTAATCCCAAGTTTACTCTTTACATAATATGTATTATTGAGAGTAAAACTTATAAATTACCGAATTTTTTTTTTTTTTTTATTACTAAAATCCACCAAAAAAAGTTTAACCCTAAAAAGCATTAGTTTAGTAACAACCAAGAGGACCGAATTTATTTTAAATTTTTGTCCCCCTCCCCCATGTAAAAAATAGTTCCGGCACTCCTGGACGTATCAGTAATATACTAACCACAATTTTTTTTTCTTTTTATTATTTTCACAAAATATTAAAAGAGTTGTAACTATTCTCTCTCATCGCAGCTTAGCACAAATCAATTTCACCAACTATTCCAAGTCACCCTTGGTTCCATAAACTTCCTCTCTCCCGGTTCCATATATTATCCTTTTCATGCGTACGAAATGTCCCTTAACTATTCTCCTTTCTGCCCCAAACATGACGATGAAGTTCTCTGCGACTTTCCTCATATAAATTTTGACTGCTGTGTTTTTGAAAGTAATCGTTCTATTTTATTTAATAATTTATCTCATCTTAATATATCTCCTATTAATTGTTACACTATTCTTAACTTAACTGCTCTCGATGTAATTTCTTTAGTTATTTCTTTCATTCATTCAGCTGGTATTTTTATTTAACGATTTTTACTGTAATTTTGTTGGTGTAAGATCAATTGTACTATTTTTTTTTTATTATTATTATTTATTTTTTCTTTTTTCTTTTTATTTAATTGTTAAGCTATAATAATACTTTGTATTGAAAGCTAATAAAAAAAAAAACTATTTGATCATATTTTATCAACAATAACTTGAATTAACAAAAAATACACATAGTTGGGTTCAATCGTAAATTAATTGGTTAATTAATTTTAAAAAAATTGAGTTTTTTATATTTTAATATATCTTGATTTCTAATTAATGTTATTTAAATACTTCTGATAAAATATTTTTACACAAATAGTATTCAATGAAATAATTTGACATGTGATTTTAAGTACCAGTTTCAATTGTCAACATAACTTAAGGTAGGAAGATATATTTTATTTTTTAAATAAAAAGGTTTGCATTTAAATTTTAATAAAAAAAAACAAATTATTTTAGGAATAAATAATTACAATATAAAACAAAATATATAATATTTATTATATTTTTACATATTATTATATTTTAATTTTGCTTGAATTATCTAAATTAAAATACATAGGAATTATACTAAACCACTATTAAAAAGTGCACTGGCTTTAAATTTTATCTTTATGGTTTTCATTCTCATGTGGGATATATTATCACTTTAAAATGTAAATTAAGTGGACTTTCAATAAATAAAACTAAATCATATAGTTTTACTCTTATTTTTAAAATTTTCTAAATTGATAAAGCTATTGCAAATATATAAATGAAGTTCAATTCAATTGCTCAAATGATGATAAAAAGAATCTAACGCCTTACTTAAAAGAGTGTAGTAACACTGCTTTCACAGTGGCATAACTAGAATTAAAATCCAGGAAGTGGTAAAATTGTGTAAAGCTCACGACGATGTAGGTGTTCTGTCCCCAAATGTCCCTATAACCAATTAATAACTAATATTATAACTGAATTAACAATTATGATTGNATTTTTAGTTTTTTTAAATTAATAATATTTTTAATATAGTTTTAATTTTACTTAATTAACTAGCCACAAGTGATCAATTTTTATTATATAATTATGATTGATCGGTAGCATAATATTGAAATGTCTCAGTATGTGCAAAATAATGATTTTATTTGCAACAATAATAGTATAATGTAACCATAGTGTATGAAAATATTAATGGTAAATTTGTATAAGTAAATATACTTAATTGAAACTATAGGTATTAAAATTCAAGGATAGTACAAAAGCCTGGAGGTGCTAAATCATTATCAAGCTCTAGTACCTTCCACTTTGTAATGAAATATAATTATACTACATCATTAAATTAATACTAATACAACAGATAAGATTAGAGAAAATTTTATCTTATCTTTTCAACTACCTGCAGGTAATTATAGGTATTTAATTAAAGTTTTAATTTATATATCAATTTTTGTATGTTAATTGGCGCTAGAACTATAATATATTTTTTAAGTTAGGTTGTACACAAAATTTTCAACTTCTCTCTTCATAAAACTAAATATGATAAAATGTTTATTCTTGTATGTGTATTAGAACTACATAAAGGTTAGGATTAACAAGAGTATGGACTAGTGACACACAATTCTATAATTTTTTTTTAAATTTATATTCATCTAATTTTTTTTATTGAAAACTTAAATACATTTTCAACACATTTAAAATAATTTTAATATAAATTAACAATTCATTATAGTTAATTTATACCATACTTGTTGTGGCTAGATGGGAATAATGAGTTACAATTTATTTATATTATATTTCATGCAACTATCAAATTATTGTATATTATAGCAATATCTGTAGTGTAATGTAGTCATTTATTTCGTATTTTGACTTAAAAATTTTAAAGGCATAGTTTTATTGTTCATTGTATTGTCAATCTCATTTATACAATTCTTTGTTAATTATAATTTCCTTGAGGCAAATCTATATTAATTCAAATGTACGCTAATGAGTACATTTTTTTTATCAACATTTAATAAGATATATTCAATTAAAATTTTTTAATAATAAAAAAAAATTTAACAATGAATGTTTAATAAGAAGAAACGAATATTAATATTTTAAAGAAAATCAAACCCCAAATCAATTATTTTACATCGAAAATTAGTAAATTAAGATGTTTTCTTTATTAAAAATAGTATCTTATAAAAAAATTTATCATAGTGGGGTCGCAACATAGTTGGAAGAAATATAGATATTAGGGTTAATCAACGATATCGATTAGTTTTGAAATATCGCAAAAATCAAAAAATTAATTTTATAAAATTTTTTTATTAAATTAAATTGAAAATAACTGTTTCAATTTTGGTCATTTTGTTATAAAATATATACTATTTGATATTAGTCCAAAAACAATTAGTGATAATTATCTAAACATTTTTTGTATTAAAATATATTATGAAATATAGAACTGAGATAGGACGAAAAATTATATTTTTTGATCCAAAATTCTATACATAAATTAGGTTTTTTATTATGACATTGTTATAATTTCTATTTTAAATAAACAAGAACGAAATAAGGTATGAGGAGAATTAAAGAAAGAAATTTCAGAATTAAAAGTTATACAGCAACAACTGGTTGAAACTCAATCTGAAAAATAAAATAAAATTATTGAGCCCCCCTCAAAAAAAAATTCCTATCAGATGATAGTGATAAAGATGTTTTATTATTTTAAATAAACAGCACTAGAAGTTTAGAAGAAAGACACAAAATAATCCATGTAATATATTTAATTTAAAATAATAGTATTGTAAGAAAAAAAAACTTATTTCTTCATAATGAAAAGTAATTCGAAAATATTTTATTATTATGAGATATAGCTATCATCTATATTTTCTTGATATTAATATAATTATCTAATTTGGTTAGTATATCATAGTCTGATTTTTACAACAATGGTAACTAACGGTATTTTTGAGAATAAAAAAAAAAAAATGGTGAAAACATTTGAATATTAAATTAAAATTTTTTTTTCGATGTCGAATTATATTTTTATAACGTAATTGGGAACAATAATTTTTTTCTATATTTCTGAAATTGGGTACGATGTCGATATTCAAAATATATTGTTGACGAACCCTAATAGATATCTAATAAAAATTATTATCATAGAATTTTCGAAATTTGTAGTTTTATTTTATGAAAAGTTATTATTAGCTTTCGATTATTCCGAAATCAACATTAACTTTTATTTTCTTAATTATATCCTGTATAAGTTTTATGATTATAAGTATAATACATGAATATTTATTTAAGTAATTAAATTTAATATTGTACTTTTTGAAATTATAATGTATTATTTATTGTTATCTCAGGGCAAACGTAATTCAAAATTGTAAGTAAGACTTGGGAAGTGAATGATTTTTTCAAACTTGTTGGAGATAGTTTTAAAAAATTAGTAACAATTTTTAAGATATCCTACAGGTGGCTTGAAAATTTAACCACACGTGCACATAGCTTTACTTTATCAAGAAAATTAAATGTACTGATAATAGATTTTTTTTTTAATAAATCACGTAAACTTAATAATTGTACCCGTGGAAATAATTAAGTATTATTACAAAAATGATATATTTTTTACCATTAGATACTACTTAATAGAATCTTTTCAGTTATTAAACTATTTAAATACTAATACTACTACTTAGTACACAAAGTGTGATGCAGTTTTGAGGTGCAAAAAATAGAGATACCACTTAATATATTTAAATTTGTATTTAATAAAAAATTGGAAGTTATAAGATTTTTGTCAAGGAAAAATTTAATTTACAACCTTTATGAAACGTTATATTTAGTATGGCGTAAAGTTAAGTAATTATTTTGTATAATAAAATCAATAAGTTAATTTCGAAAAAAATTTCTCTAATATAAGTAATGTTACTATAATTTGTTGGTGGCAAGACGGTTAAAATCAAAGTTACCTCCACCGTCGACAAATTAAAATAATTTTTAAATTACACAAGTTATTGAACCGATTTGAAATAGTACCTATGAAATCTGATAGCAATAATTGTAGCTTATTAATCAACTGTGTTATATAGTTAAATTTATTAAGTTTTAATAAAAACAAGTAGGATTTTGGCTTTTTTTTTTTATTATCCAATAAAAAGATACATCTTACATAATGAAAACTAGAACCTTAGCTTTTGGAAAAACCATTTATTTTTACCAGCCTTGAATCTGTAAAAAAAAAAAGAAAAAAAGTTAACATGTGTTACGTGACCTCTGAAGTTAACATAATAAAACATTTTAACAAATCTAATGACTTTTGATCTACTAAATATTTTGCATAACTTTTTTTCAATAATATTTTATGCATTTTTAAAATGTATTAAAATCCATTTTTTTACTTATTTTGATTGTTAAAAAAACAAATAATAAAAAATATGATTTTAATGTATTCTCAGAATACATAAATTAATTTAAAAAAAAAAGGAATATATATATATTAGTAGAACACAAGTTATTAGATTTGTCAAAAAAAAAAAAAAAAAAAAAAAAAAAAAAAAAAAAAAAAA